GGCCACCATGGTCACCACCCATCTTGAGGAGTTTGCCACCTCACATATACTAATGTGCCACAAACAGGACTTTAATATCACCAACCATTCCCATGTTATTATGGTGTTTTCCATATAAATGGCCCACCCTGTAGTGTGCACAGTGTCCTTTATTTGCATTTATAAACAATACATTTGCTTTTGTTTCCACATGTTATGCATTCTACTTTCAGATACAATAATAGAGGAAATATGATGTAATCTGAAACCAGTTCAGTGCATATTTACCAGTTGTAGTCTTTCTCAGTACACTGGCAGGGTTTGTTGGTCAGAGCTGATGTGTAGCTTTTTCCTTTTATGCAGAATGCAGTGTCCTTCCTCTTCCTGAACGTCCGCTCCTGGCCCATAATGCACTTTTCCTCCTAAGGGTGATAAAATCCATGTGCACACTCTGTAGCCACTTATATGTTTGTACAATCTGATACAACCAAACACAGCTCGAGAGCCATGACCTTAGAAATAGATAATTTCCCTTGGAAACTTCAAAAAGCTAGAATCTATAACACAGCTTAAATCATGTGAATGTGCTGCATCTCTGTGTGAGTCCGTGGGCATTACCTTCTGATCTGTGAACTGCCAGGAGTCATAATCAGACTCAGTGCACTGACGGGGAAAAGACTGCCTAAAGTCCACTTTCACCAGCTCCCAGTCTGACCTATAGCTGATGTGGCCAAACACACTGCAAGAAAACACACACACACACACGCAGTATAACGAAAAAAGCCTTTTTTTGTCGGCACAAAGGAAAGTCTGAACATCAGGCTTTTTTCATTTTTTAGCATCAACACCTAAATGGTAAAGACAGGATATTTCCTTAATGTTCTGCTTGTTTGATAAACGTTCTTGCTTCCAGCTGTTTGTTAGATTCTTTCCTCTGTGTTTCCTCAGAGTCACTGAGTTGCACTCACTTACACACCTGACACAAACAGCAGCAACTTCATTAATTATTCTAAGACTGGTAATTCACAACATGTGCTTTTCTAAAACACAGAGTGGCAGTTTTAAAATGTAAGTATTTATTTTACAGCATTATTGTGTATGATGCAAGGGGCAACACTGAGATAATCTTTACCTAAACCATCTTGCAGCTTTACAAATGGATTGTATCTCTATTGGAAATGTAGCTCAAGTGATAAAGCCTTTTAGCAAAGTCACAGTTCCCCATCCTTTCCACTAGATGGTGGTGTTCTACAGGAAATCACAGGTGATGCGCCATATTCCCATTACTGAACTCAGCTGTTTAATCTGTGTGTGTCTGTTAGAACATTTTTAAGCATACTGATGTGACTCAAATAAGTCACTCTGACATATGTTATTGGCTTGCAATCACTTCGTTGGAGTGCCGCGCAAGCAAGACTAATGTTGTCTTTACCAGCGTCGTTAAAAGGTAGTGACAGATGTCTCGGCTGCAGATTCACATATGCTGATGTTCCACTTTTTACCTCTGTTGTTCTTCTTGCTCTTACTTGTTTGATTTGGTCAAATACGGATTATCCTGCTTCTTAAATTTGGAGGATTTTTAAAGCAATTATCTGATTTAAAATTATTCCATGCTGTGTGGTACAGACTGTCAAAAAAGTTTGGATTTCAGTTTTGCTAAGGTAAAATTTGAAGTCTTATTTAGTAACAATTAGCAGGATCTGTGCTAATATTAGCTGATAGCTTACGACATCACCCTCCTGATCAAATATGGTAACCTCTGACTCCAATAAAAACGACATGGCAGTTGCCCAAAAATACTTATCTTGAGTCTTTAATCTAATAAGTAGCTACAAACTGTCTATCTTTGTATACAGTCTATGATCACAATACGCCAATTTCAAAATTCTGAAAACCACCTATGGAGGACAAGGAGAAGATCCTGCCTTAGTAATGTGGATGAACGCATGTTTAACATTTCCATCCGTGAGTCTTATCTAGATTTTGTAAACAACATTTTGCTGGGTCACTGCAAACCTTTCAGTGTACTTCAGTGTAAAAATGTTTATTGCTTTATTTGTGTATTAATTCCCACCAGCTGTGGAGTTAATTTAGTTATTTCTTTGTCTACTTTTGAATGGGCGCTCCAGAGCATTAACACTTCTGTTAGTGGACAAACAACAGTCACTTCGTTGTTCACAGTTCACTTCACAGCTAAGTGAACACAAATCAAAACTTATTAACAGCTCCCTTTGTTAAACAAACAGAGCTAAGTAGGAGAAAACACATGTTTGTACATTGTTTTCAGGAGAGTTTTGTTGCAGAATGTGATTAGATACAAACCAGTGATGTGGTTTTCTATTATGTTTCTTACAAGTGGTTTAGAAGGAGCAGAATGAGGTGATTTCATGATCTCACAAAGCAGTATGTGCAGTAGAAACCCGCCTGTGCTGTCCTGATATTTGACTGGGTGTTATTAGTATGAGTGGTGGACGAGCTCTACTCCCCACCTGTCCTTGGTGCTAAGTCACTGTTCAAAGACTTCATTACGGGATGGCAGCCTCCGCCATCAAAAATCGAAACTCCGTGGCAAGGATATAGACCCTGGCTAATCTATCAGACATGAGCTGCCCTCAACACCCTTCCTTGGCCGCCGACCCTATCTCGCTGGAGTCAGTTGGATGGCACATATATATGTGTGTATGTGTGTGTGTGTGTGCGTCTGAGTGTGTCTCAGCCCAGAGGCTGTGTGCCTGACATCTCTGATAATGATGAGTGAGCTTGAATGTTCGATCTCTCCTCCTCATGTGTGTGTGCCTGCGCGTGTATCTGTGCGTGTGTGTGACAATCTCTTTGCCCTTCTCAGCAGATTACTGCTAGGAGTGAGTCTTATCTGTGTGCCAAGGTCTGGAGTCTAAGATGATGTGACAAGTGTCACTCCTGCTAACTTAGAGATGGAGAGATTTGGAGAGAGCGAGTGAGAGAGAGAGAGAGAGCAAGCAAGAGAAGACAGACTTTACGCCTAAAAAGATATGAACGCCTGACATCTGCACCTAAAGCTACCTGCAGTTGATATTCAGTACTCATAGAGTGAGAAGCCAAAGAAATCGAAAACTGTAGTGGTACCAGTTTTCAAGAACAAAAGAGTTATAGTAATTACAGACTGATGAAGATGATACCGATAAGCTATGAATCTGTTGATGGTAGATGTAATATTTTCTTTGAAAGTGCTGATCAGGAAGTACAGAAAAGGTCAGAAGGTTTTGCAAAATGCTTTGGAGGATTTCGAGAAACAATATGATAGGTTGCCAAACTCTATGCTACAGCATTAGGAAGTCAGGATTGGCAGAAATGTACGTGAGGCCAGGACATGAATGAGGACAGGGAGACAGGTGGAATTACAAACAGGTACTGGCTTTGACCCCATTCTTGTTTACAACAGTGATAGACAAGCTGACAGATGCAATCAGGCAGGAGTCTTTGTGGATAAAGATGTTCACAGTTAACACTGTGATTGTGTAGGGAGGAGTAGGTGGGAGAGCCTGGAAAGGTGGAGGGATACGTTGGAGAGAAGAGGAGTGAAAGGCAGAAGAAGCAATGTGAATGAGAAAGAGTGACAATACAAGGAGCAGAGGTAGTGAAGATGGACAGTTTCAACTAATATGAGGCTGATGCTCAAATTTTTGTTGGGAGAGACCAAATGGACAGTATTAGAAATTAGTATATCAGAGAGACGGCTCAGGTTGAGTACTTTGAAGACAATGTTAGAGAGGCAAATAATGAGATAGTAAAGAATTTGGACAAATAATGCTGTATATCAAGCTGCCAGGCAGAAGAAAATAAGAGCGATCACAGAGGAGGTCCATGGACCTAGTGAAGGAGGACAAGCAGAGCGTTGGTGATTAGGCTGTGTTAGAGTGTAAAGGTTCTCAGGCCTTGGTTTAGCTCACTGGGATGAGCAGGCGCCCATAGGCCGTTTGGCTGAGAGTGGCAAATCCGAATCTGAATCCGACCCCTGTTCATACAATACTGTCTTTCAAGCTGTATATAAAGAAATGAGGGCTTATGGCTCAAGACTTATGCACAGCACCGTAGACGCTAACTAAGCTGCCTGTACTGCTGTACTAGTCTAAGCCTGCTCAGGATGCGTTCACAAATACTTAGCAGACTATGGGAGTAATATGTCAGCAGGTAGGGGGTCCTCTGCTCCCATCATTCTCTGCTTTAATGTGAAACTGAAGAGAAACTAGGTGCCACTCTCCAAAAAGGGGGACTGCTTTATTGGAAAAGAAAAATGAGCTCCTTTAAATGTACTCTATTACCCGGTAGACCTTTCAGACAACTTATTAAAAACGTATACGAGTACAGGAAGAGTTAAGGATACAATAAAAGGTAAATTGTAGGAGATGTAAGGTATTTAAATTCTTCTCCACAATGCTGAATAGATATGGAATACGAGAGAATATATTGTCAGCTACATAAAGGAAAGTTTGAATTTGTATTTTTTTAAAAGGCACCTAAAATTTCAGACCCTTTTCAGTTAATTTAACTGAACAGTGTGTTTTATCATTCTGGCAGAAGCACTGAAATTGAAATTTTCACTCACGTCATGACCAGGGTCTCATCTCCTGGCTCACTCAGAAGTCCATCGACGAACACGGAGGTGCTTGTAAAGTTGTGAATGTTCCACGTCCGTCCTTCATCAATACTGAACCTGTGGGAAAGGATGAAGTGTTCAGAATCACCAAGACAGAAGCAGAGTCTCATGAAACTGTCTTCAGATATAACAAAAGAGCCTTGCCCTGATGTCAGCAAATGAAATCTTAAATAACAATCAAAAGACTAGAAATCAACATTAGACTTATCATTTGGTACTTCTAATGTTGATTTCATTTGGTACTTAATGCATTTAGATTATGTTGCCCTTTATACTGTCTGTCTAAAACCTGCGTGATTAGCACAACTAGCTAAATGCTGAATACCTAGTGCATCCTAGAAAACTGGTGTATCCACTTCATGGTGTAATTTCAGTTTATTTTCAGTACAGTTTCTCACATTGTCCCTCTGTTTGGTTCAGAAAGCTATCAGATGTTAAGGTAACTTTTTCAGCTCATAGCTAGCTTGTAGCTATTGTTTGCCATTGTTTACGGGCCTGGCAGACTCACTGAAATTATTAGTTCTTTAAACCAACTGCAATATGGATAAAATTATTTATCAGATACTAAATTTTATGTACCGTTAGAATCAATACAGAGCACATGTACTGTTTTATATTTGAAATGTAGCTCTGTTGAAACATTTCTGAATTAAAAGTATTATTGTCTTTTGAGATAAAAACAACTAAGATTTGTGTAATTCATTTTTGAAAGTAATCGCATAAAATTTTGGCAAAGCCATGGAAATATGGTTATGATCAACTACCTAACATTCATATTAGGTCAAACAATACTTTGTTTGCAGAGTCTTGACATGTTTTCTATGTGGGATAAATGGTAAATGGTAAATGGCCTGTATTTGTATAGCACTTTACTCGTCCCTAAGGACCCCAAAGCGCTTTACATATCCAGTCATCCACCCATTCACACACACATTCACACCAACAAAATGCTTATTTTATCCCATTCTGTTGGTTTTTGTCTTTTGCCCTTCTCCCCCGTCCCTCTTCTCAGCTGTTTCTCTTTCCCTCTTTCTTTCTCCCCTTCTTTCCCCCAGTCAAGTCTGTCCCATATTCAGTAAGTGAAAATAAAATAAACAATAAAAGGTGAATCAAATGGACCATTACGGCAAGGCTGGGGTGGTCAATTTGGTAAAGTAAATCCGTTGGGCATCTTTCTTTGCCTTTAGACAACAATTCTGATGGCAAAAGAGCCAAACGGGACAGGCAAAAAAAAAAAAAAACCATACAAAAAGTGATTGCAAAATGTTTGATATTCTAAACATGGGAGCAGCTAGGTGCTTTCCATAGCTATGGTCTTTCACCAGAATTATCTTAGTGAGATAATAAGGTGGCTGTAGCTTAGGAGGCAGAGCAGATCATCTGCTAGTCAGAAGGTTGGTTCTTTAATCCAAGGCTGCCAGACAAGATACTGAATCACACAATGAGTGAGGAGTTTGAACTTTAGATTAAAAAAAAAACCCAAAAGCTTATGCAGTAGAAAACTGTTCAATTTAAAACTGGTTAATATGAGATGAGGGTGTACCTTTTGATTTCCTTCATGTTCACTTCAATTCAATTTTATCTATATAGGGTTATAGACAACAATAGTTGCCTCAAGGCATGCCATGTTGTAAAAACCCTACAATAATGGATACCCCCTCATAAGCAAACTCTTGTGACAGTGGGACAGAAAACTCAATTTTTAACAGAATGAAATATACGTTTACAACAGATATTTTTAGTAGGTTAAATGAAACATCATTCGAAAGTCATGGAAATTCATTGGTAAAAATGTGTATAAGAACTGTGTAATTTGTTTTTTATAAGTAAAACTATGTAGTGCGAAAATGCACATACATAACAAAGTTGGATCACTGAAGTTGTCTATACATAGAAAATTGACAAAATACAGCATTCATTGCTAATTAAGTGCTTTTTATGCTTTTAGTCACAATGAGATCCTTTTTGTGAAACTCAAATGTCTGTTATTCAAGTTTTCTTTAGTCCTGTCTAAAATGAGGTTTGTGAAGCAAGCAAGAAGAGCCATCTGCCCAGCTTTATTTACTGTGCCGACAACTCATGCCATCAACAGTGGCAGCAGTACTGAATAAGTGTGACTGTGTGATGGAGAGGGATCAATGTTGAATCGAGCAGTGTGTGGCTCGCTCTGCGGGCTGTGTTTTAACGATGTCCTAACAAGGAGTGCAATAAGATAATCACTGGGTAAACAGGCACTGTGAAAGAAAAACAGAATGGATATACAAAGCCATCAAAGCTAGGCCTTGCTAGGCCTTTTTATGCGTCAAACAAAGGGTTCTCTAATCTAACAGTGTGTGAAGCCACTTTCCAAAGGCAGAATCAGTTACGTCTTGGGGCCTTTCAACTTTAATTCCTTAAAATTGATGAATCAAGGAGTACTGAGGTGTGAATGTAAGCAGGCTATGAATTTCACTCAGACTCTGTTCCTTCATTTCTACTCACTACTTCTTGTAACATCTGACGTGTACAACCAAGCGCAACATCATGAAAGACTTCTGACAGTTCAAGTTTTATTATCTACAGGACAAAGACACTAATGGGCACCACCAAGAGAGTTCTTGGCATTAGAACAAGAAAGCAGAATAAAACTGCCAAGGGGACGGTTCGTCCAAATTCCTTGCCTCTGAGTTTGGTCATTTGGATTAACTATAAAAACATTTGCCCTTCAAAGTGATCAGACAGCAGATCACAGGTAATTCGAGGCATGCTGAGACCCTAAAAGTCTTTCACCAGAATGATTTTGTTATTTATCAGTAATAATGGTATGAGTGATATGGATGAGTGAATAGTAAATGAGGCGCTAAAGGCTCTTTTAGACTTTGGTTCATTTGACCGAGGAAAGAAAAAAGACATTGCTATCTAACAAAACACAGTTACATAAAATGAGGCATAACGCAGTGACTAGACAGGTTTAGTGCCATCATCCTGCATGATCAGTTCTTATCATAGTAACTAAATATGATATATGCAAATAGCATGAACTGCTTTTTGTCAGCTTTCTATACGTATAAATACGATCCCTAAAGACCATGGAAACTTTGACCAGATGGCAACTGATGATGGACTCGTTGAGCAATAATGCCTTTTTTCTCTTTTAGAGTTATTCTTTTTATAATAAAGAGCTTTATGTCTGTGAAGGTTCTCAGTCATCCAGGTCATTGTAGTCAAAGGAGCTTGCAAAGAAAAGCGTCCTAATTACTCCAAGTTTGTGTTCCAGAGGGTGATGGGAGTCAAAGAGGAGGTACTGGTCCGTGTGTGTGGGCTTCCGGTTCTATGTTAAGGTTGCCGTTCTCTTCAATGTGCACAGCGCAGTCCAGGAAAGGCAAACAGTCGTCCTTTGTGTCTTCCCTGGTGAACTTGATGTTTTTATCCACAGCGTTAATGTGCACAGTGAAGGATTCCACTTCTTGTGTCTTGATTTTGACCCAGGTGTCGTCTACATATCTGTACCAGTGGCTGGGTACTCTTCCTTTGAAAGAGCCAAGAGCCTTCCTTTCCACTTCTTCCATGTAAAGGTTGGCTACAATAGGTGAAACGGGGGAGTCCATGGCACAGCCATGTTTTTGTCTGTAGAAGCCTTCGTTGTATTTGAAGTATGT